TCACTCACTCACTCACTCACTCACTCACTCACTCACTCACTCACTCACTCACTCATTGCCTCATACTTCACATCTTTCCAAGATTCTTTCCTCCCTCCTTCCCTCCACCTCTCATTCATCATATCATTATATTCATTCTTCCCTTTCTTCTTCCGTTTCGTGTTATTTCCACATTTTCTTCTATCCTATTTAAAAAAAAGACAACAAAAGATAAACAGACAAACAAACAAACAAATAAACAAACAAACAGACTGACAAACAAAAACACAAACAAACAAAAACACTAACTAACTAACTGACTAACTAACTATTTAACAAACAAACTAACAAAGAAATAGAAGAAAAAACAAACCAAATGAAGATTTTAGAAACACATTCATTCCTTCTTTCTATCCCCCCAGCTATCCCTCCTTGCAACCTCCTCCCCGGGAGCCCGGCGCAGCAGTGTGTATATGGCACGTGTCGCATGATGCCCGGAGGTACATTCGGCTGTGTGTGTAACCCGGGCTTCTCTCTCAGCCGGTCCAACCCCAACATATGTGAAGGTCAGTGAGTGCAGACTAAAGCAATCTGCTGTTTTGTTTTTTATTTTTATTTTTTTCTTCTTAATTATTTTTTTGGTAAGTGTTTTACAGCGCTCACAACTGCATAAGGTCATATAAGAGCGCGGGATACATTAAACATTTTCAGAGGGTAGGAAACTTCGAATTTTGCCCCGGGTGGCGGCCGAAGCCTACTCTTATCGATTTTAGACAACCAAAGGATCTTTAACGTGCGCAACGTGCACACGGGATCTCCGAGATTTTTCGCACTTTATTTTGGTTTTAGGATTTGTAAGAGTTTTACGGCGCTCACAACTTAAAAAAATTATATGCTTGTTGTTGTGGTTGTTGTTGTTGTTGATGTTGTTGTTGTTGTTGTTGTTGTTGTTGTTGTTGTTGTTGTTGTTGTATTATATTTAACCTCTTCGACCTCTCCCCAGACCTTGACGAGTGCCAGATGCCCACGTCCGGATGTGTGCCAGGTACTTGTACCAACTCACCTGGTTCTCACACCTGCAGCGCCTGCACACAGGGGTATTACCTGGACCCCTATACCAAGCAGTGTCGATGTGAGTTGCACGTCAGGTTAGGTCTCTTATACAGGGTGCCCACTACGGATGGGATCGGCCTATCGACCAGATCGCCCGACTCGATCACCTCAAAAACTAACGTGTTTGTTTTCAGTTTCAGGCGATCGAGTCGGGCGACCGGCCCGATGCAGCCGTAGTGGGCACCCCGTAGTAGATTTACCTGGCGTAGAACGAGGACTTTTGGTCTGGGAGTTGTTTTTGTTTGGTTTTTGTTTTATTTTGGTTTCGTTTTTGTTTTGGTATTTGTTAGGATTTTTTGTTCTTTTTTTGCTTGTTTGTTTGTTTGTTTTTTAGCTTTTGAAGACCACAGTGGAAACACGATTAATGCCATTTAATTTTCACGATGAGAGAAAATCAGATTCTTCAGTTCAAAACACTGCATATTGATAATCTTTTCTATAGTACCTTTTAAATCAAGCTTATAAAGTTTGTCATGAATGAGCCCGTAGTAGGTTAAAAAAATTCTTAGTGTTAACTTAATATTGAAGGGCATACGATAACAGCAATGACATCAAATACTTGAGTTTGTGATTACGGTGGTTTTTCCATTGTTTTTTTTTCCTTCACTTTTCTTGATCTTTGTCTGTCAGCTGTTCTGATGGTAATTGTACTATTGATTAATCCAAAACATACTAACAAAATATCGTATAAGATTTGCATCTACTGAATATTCACGAAATATTTATTCCTGAAAACGAGTTTACTCAAAGAAAGGTTATTGTAGCAAACTAATTTACATTTTTCTAGGACTTGATCGTTCTGACAAAGATATAACTGGACACAACTTGAAAATATTTAATATGGCACAACTGATGAATTAAGGTATGCTTATACAGTGGGTGTCGCATTCAACGAGGTTGCCGGGACCGGCTTGTTGTCCTCGCTGGATCCGACCTATCGTTGAACGTGACTAAGGCTAAAGAAAAGAAAGGAGACAAGGTTATTAAAATGATTATTATATTGAACAATATACAATACCAGTAATTAAAACAGTTGTACCCCCTGATGATGAAAATCTCAAACAGCATCAGTGTGTGCGTGTTTGAGTTGTGTTCTGACCGTCATTTCTGCATGTTTAAAAATATTTTTTTCCGGAACACTTCTCGTGTGGAAACATACCCTCTCACATTATCTAGGCCTAGATCTACATAAAGTAAAGGCGGGAGCTTGTATTTTCTGATCAGTGGTAGAAAAGAAAATTGAAAAAAATGAAGGTCTCGATCTAGACCTCCATCCAGAGTTCATCCAGTTTCACACAGCCCGCATCGCGTTCCCACCCTCCCCCTCCCATCCCTATCGTAGGCTTACCCTCGCCCATCCTTTGGGGCCCATAATATAAGGAGGAACACTTAACTAGATCTAGCAATACAATGAGTTAGGAATCGAGGATGGGCCTTGTGTTTTGCGTGAGATGAC